GAGTGGTGCTCAGGGATGCCTATAGTGCCGAAAGCGAACTCCAAGGTCAGGATTTGCGTTGACCTGACAAGGCTGAACGAAAGCGTCAAGAGACTGAGAGAGGCACCCACTCCCTGCTGTAGACCAAACCCTGGCTAAAGCCAAGTGTTCACCAAGTTAGACGCGAACTCGGGATTCTGGCAGATTCCCCTGTCTCCTGACGACATTCAGCACTCCATTCGGGGCGGTATCACTTTCGTCGACTACCTACCGTTCAGAATATCATCGGCACCAGAGCACTTTCAGCGAAGTATGTCAGAGTCTCTGAGTGGGCTCTCAGGTACGGTGCGGTGCGCCTGATGGATGATATCCTCGTCCACGGAACGACCCGTACGTACGATTTGCGACTCCAGGAAACGCCAGCGACACCCGTCGATTCCGGGGCATGGTCAACCAGCTGAGCAAGTTCTCACCAAATCTCGCGGAAATCACTCAGCCGATGAGAGAGTTGTTGGTGAAAGAGAATGCATGGCTGTGGGGAGAGCCACAGCAGAGCTCGTTCAACAGAGTCAAAGCAGTTCTTACTGCCAGCCCTCTTTGACCCGAACCTGGAGACTGTATAAAACTCTCAGCTGACGCATCGTCACACGGTCTCGGAGCCGTCCTACTACAGAGACAGACGTCAGGGGAATTGCAGCCAGTGGCCTACATATCCAGAGCGATGACACCAACTGAGAAGAGCCTGATACGCTCAGGAGGCATTAGCCTTTACGTGGGCCTGTGAACGACTCTCAGATTACCTCATCGGGTTGCAGTTCCACATCCAGACCGACCATAAGCCGTTGGTACCACTGTTCAGCTCCAAACACCTGGAAGAGCTACCTCTTCGAGTACAGAGGTTCAGGATGCGTATGATGCGCTTCCAGTTCACAATCAGCCATGTTCCAGGGAAAGACCTGACGATCGCGGACGCACTCTCAAGAGCTCCAGTATCAGCTCCATCGGCAGATGACAAGTTCCTTCAGCAAGAAACCACTGCTTACGTAGACTTCGTGGTCAGACGTCTACCAGCAACAGAGCGACGACTGGCTGAAATACGTGAGTGCCAGAAGTCCGACCGTGCATGTCAGCACATGTTAGAATTCTGTCAGTCAGGCTGGCCCGAGAAGAACGCTCTGCCAGCTGAAGTCAAACCGTACTACACTGTCTCAGCAGAGCTGACAGTACAGGAAGGCCTTTTACTCAGAGGCAGCCGTATTGTCATCCCTCCACCGCTACGCAAAACACTTCTGAACAAAATCCACTGTGGTCACCAAGGCATCACTAAACGTCGTGAGCTGGCCAGGCAATCGATCTGGTGGCCAGGGCTTTCAAAGCAGATGGAAGAGTTGATCCAGAACTGCAGAGAGTGCCTGAAAGCTCAACAGCAACGACCACAACCACTTACTCCAACCCCCTCTACCTGCCTTGCCTTGGCAAAAAGTGGCCAGTGATCTCTTTGAGTGGAACCAGTCCATCTATCTCCTCGTTGTGGACTATCATTCGAGGTACATCGAGATCACCCATGTCAACCGACCAACTACAGCAGAGGTGGTCACTCACCTGAAGTCTCTATTTGCACGGCATGGTATTCCCTGACACACTGATCTCCGACAATGGGCCACAGTACTCCTCGAGAGAGAGAGTTTGCAGAGGAGTATGAGTTTCGTCATGTCACGACTAGCCCATATCACCCTCAGGGGAACGGGGAGGCGGAGAGAGCCGTCAGAACCATAAAGAATCTGCTGAAGAAAGGGGACGATCCCTACAAAGCTCTCTTGGCTTACCGTACCACACCACTACAACTCTTCTGCTCATTTATACTGCTCCTTAGTAGCTAGAATGCCAGCTGTAGAATAGCAGTAGAATGAGCAGGAGAATTGCAGTAGAATGCAGCCCCTCTCAACTCCTGATGGGACGTGTTCTCAGGACGACAGTTCCAACGACCAGAGCTCAGAGGAAACCACGCATTCCCGACCTCTCTTTGGTGAAAACCGAAGACCAGCAAATAAAACGCAGACAGAAAAAAGACTTCGACTCTCACCACGGAGCTCGAGAACTCCCACCATTGCAGCCTGGCGACATGTCTGGGTCCCAGGGAGAGAGAGTGAAGCAGAGGTTGAAGGAGAGGTGGCACCTCGATCCTACCAAGTTGTGACAGGGGATGGAACATTTCGTAGAAACAGACGCGATCTAATACGTCTGCCTAACCCAGACACAGCCGAGTCCTCTGAGCAGAGTGGTCAAGAGGGAACTAACATAACCGAGTCAAGCGAACAGCCGAACGAACAGTCGAACGAACCGACTACATCCGACGAATCGACCGAATCGACCGCACCTCACAAGCGCTTCGAAGGAGAGTAGCCGTAACTCCCGACCACCCGAACGGCTAGACCCTAGTTGGTCACACTGAACTGATCTGAGAGAGACTCAGAAGGACACATTGGTGTATGTTGTCTATCCTATATGTGTATATCTTGTGCAAGCTAGTGCATGACTTAGGGGGGAGATTAGTGCATGCAGAATGTGTATATGTGACCGTGCACACAAAAACCAACCTTACGCCGCATTTTTGTGAAGTAGCGTTTTTTGTATCGTTGTAAAGCTTGAAATGTGCTTCATACACCGCTTATTTTTGTATATTTTTGGGGAAAACCCTTCAAAAGTTACGATTTTTCAAACGCGGGCCACGCGGGGTTATACAAAACGCGAAATAGTGGAATGAAATTTTTCCGTATTCTTGTCCGTGCACGAATATGACGTCACATTACGGGATTTTTCCCGGGAAATTTTTAGCAACCATAGAGATGCGGTGTGAGCGAGCAGTTTGACAGCAGACGAACGCTTTCTATCGGCCCTACCGGGCTGAATAGACTTCAGGCCGAACTGTCGTGGCAGATCTTGGTGTAAGTGAGGTATCGCTTTGACTTTCTTTGCGTCAGCTGCATGTACCGTCGTGCTGTCACTCATGTTAGACAGGTCGTTTGATCATGTTTACCGTGAAAACTCCGGCCCGTGTGTGCTATGGATGCTGGTTCTAGATTCTAAACTAGACAGTTAACAGGCCAGCTTAGCCAGCTGCCGGCTCCCGTCTGTCTTGAGCCGTGCCACTAGGCTGTCGTATTTTTAAAGGCGGCAGCTTAGATGATCTACTCAGCAACCACTCCAAGTTCTTCAGGAACCTTTGTGCCCGTGTGCAGAGTAAAGGAAAGTGACTGGTAGTCGCTGCATCTTTGTTGCCTAGTTTCGCGGGGGAAAGGGTGTGTACAAGATTTCCGTACACCCCCGCCGTGAGCGTCCGTGTCCGCTGCTCCGTTCACTGACTACCGCTACAGAGAAATAGCTTCTTTTCTGGCGAGAAGGCGTCCTAGGAGGCAGGAAAGGTACCAGTAGGTAGCTCTGATGGGAAGCTTTACTTATAGGCAAAAAAGTGGTTTTGCTTATACCGGTTGGTGTAGGCGTTATATTCACGCGTACTCGATGCGGCGTAAGGTTGGTTTTTGCGTGCACGGTCACATATACTGACTGATGTGTGTATGCTGTACTTGTGCGCATGTGCAGTCTGTTGTATATAAGTAAGTGTGTTGTACGCTGTTTATAGGGTCTGTGTGCTCATATAAGATACTGGTGAACTACGGTGCGTGCTATATAGCTGGCTATACACGCCAGAGTTACACGTTACTACAGAGGGAGGTTACGGAGGAGACTTAGAGCCGATCCCTTCAGGTTTATCACGAGGAATGTGGCCGTTTCATCTGTTCTAAAAAAGCAGCTGGATGATTTTCTTGCATTGAAGAAACCGGTTATCTTTCAAGATTGCCAAACAAAAAATCAATTCGTGATTCTGGCAAGCTTGATGTTAAGGATGCACGAAAATATGTTCATCAGACAAAGACATTGGTGTTTGGAGATTGAAGTCTGTGATGTAAACAAAATTGAAGCCTATGTACTAGTGTCAGTTGCTGTGAAAGTCATGCTATGTGAAAGACCGTCCAATATCGGTTCAAAGAGAAAGCATAATGTCACTGTCAGTTACCACACAGGAAGTTGTTGTGTATACAGTTGTGGGAGGAACATATTAAATTGGTTGAAGGAGGGTAAGAGCTATATTCTCGAATCTTTCAGGATCGGGGAACACCATGAAACGAAAAACCTCGCTCTCTGCAGAGAAGGCTCTAAGGACCGAAAAGTCGTTGAAGCCGTAGAGCCAATAATAATTATGCGAGGAAAACATTATTGATGTTGAGAATCCAAAGATTGTAGCTAGCGGTTTATAAGTAGAGTCTTTCACGTCGTGTGTTAGTTGTCAGTCAAAGGTCGAATTCGTGACTGAAAGAGCTACTGCACTGATGAGAGCAGAACTTTCCCGTCTGACCTACAGATTGTGCATACATTTTAAGATGTGTATTGTGAATATGTTTTTTTTGTAACGTCGCAAAGATTTTTTTACTCGATTCGTAAAACACGTAGTTGTGGTCACAACTACGAGAAGGCGTGGCTCCGCGCGCGTTATAAGCCAGCCGCAATGAAAACAGCGCGGTGTGTCTATCTACTTACCTCCTTTTTTCGTGAGTCGTGGTATATATATTTCCCGGATTTTTCCTACCTTGTTTTCAAAACTCATTAGCATATTCACATTCCTCCTCAATACATTCTGTATGGGAGAGAAAACCCGTGCGCGACTCACACCCAGGTCCGTCTCCATTATGCGCAGTGGCTTTCTTCGCCTGCTTCGGTACGCGGGAAGCTGTATAGGCGTGACCGGGTGGCAAAGGTCAACGTGAAATCAAAACCTGGCCACGCCTATTTTTCGGGATGGCTCGAATACGCCTGCGCGTGCCGCAGGAGGCCGCGTTCCGCTCGCGCGCGCTCGAGACTCCACTAGACTCAAGCGAAATCCTGATGCACGTCAAAATTACGTAATTGCATATTTTGGCTGCTTGGTACCACCACTGCACTATTTGCATGCTCTTCCGCAACATTATCATGGCTGACGACGGCGAGCCCCTAGAGATCACAGCGCTTCGTACTAATCTCACTGCCATCACTGACACGGTGACGGTCGGAGACAATCTACAGTGGTTTTCAAACTGCCTCGTGGAGAAAGCCTTCATTGCGCAGAGGGCCGCGCAGGCAATCCTCGGCGGCGGTGCCACGCCCGCGAACAAGGCCAGTCAGCTTATTGACGGGGTTTTCACTGTAATCCGAAGGTCGGACAGGAAGAGCTACTGGTTTGCCGAGTTCGTATCTATTTTCTCCACCGACAGAGCCTACGCAGAGCTAGTCGAGAAACTGAAACGCCACGTCCGCCAAACAAACCTGCAGCAACTACTATCTCCCATTCCAGCCAGCCCTTCCCCTAGTTCATCTCTACACGTTCCTGCGTCTTCAGGCACCACACCAGCCACAGCCAGTTCTAAGGAGTCCCCTGCCCCGTCATCCACCACCACACCCTTTTCACCTCCTGCCCCACCTCTACCCTCCCCTCATCACTCTTCTTTCTGGAGTCTGGAGAAAGTCGAAGCCTCCTTGAAAAACCTTGAAGAGATGTTTGGCAACCTACACGCAGATGCTGATACAGAGCTTGGTGAAAAAGAAAGGCGAGATGAAATGTTTTTTAAAAGGTTTCGCAGTCGTCTTTTACTCTTGCCTGTCCGCAAAGCGACCCTCCATGTAAAGTTTTTCACTGCCTATGAAGACGAGATTCTGGCTGCCCAAAACAGTACAAAGATTCTAGCCATTCTCTGCCGTTTTGTAGATTACCGTAACTTCGAGATTCTATATTACGTCGTCCTAACATTCTGTGGTACTTCACTGAAACAAAGCATGAAAGATTATTGCAAAATGCTCAAAGAATTTGAAACTGCAACAACAGTAGATGTGTACCTCAGTGCCATTCCTGATGAAGCAGATGAAGAACTGCTCAATGGCTTCTCTCAGATGGTCGTGAAGATTGACAAGCCTGAATCACAGTGCACTCTGCTCGAAGTCCGAAAGCTAAACAAGGCGATCATTGAGAAGTCAAGTCTCTGCTCTCACAGCGTCTACATTGGAGCAGTGTCCAGAAACTGTGTGGTGGTTAGGCTTAGGTTTCCTTCCAGTGCAGTGGGCTGGGTGCTAGAAGCCATCACTCCCGACTTCATGACCACACATCGTCTCACAGAGGTGTCTGTGGATGGCCATCCACTATCCCTTATACCGGCCCAGAGAAATAATTTGGTACGCAAATAATGTATACATGTGATGTAACTAATGTCTCTTTGCATTCACCTGAGCCCTGGAAGTCATTGTGTAAAGTATATACTGTGAACAGCTGAATTTGACTGAAGGATGCCATCAAAACGAAAATTTGCGAGCATTAGAATGGTGTTATATAGCATTTTTACAGTTTGGTAGCTAGCTACTGTGTGTGACAATTAATTTGTCGAAGCCTCAGGTGAACTTTGGGCGTGCAAGTGATACAGTTATGTGTGTTTATAGCAGCAGCCCTGACATCGCTGCAGTGAAAGTTTTCAGCTTGGTACCCGATCTCATGCTGAAAGGAATGTGTGATGAGTGTGTAAGTGAAGGAGAGGAAGAGAGAAATCAATCTGGGGGATTCGAACCTTGCTTCCCGGGCAAGTGCACTACCACTGTGCTATTTGACGTTTGGATGCCTTCTCAAGGAAGCCAGGGTCGATCTCCCTCTCGTTGTTCTCCTCTGAGGCCAGTGATTTTAGTTTGGGGTTGATGCGGGACCAAGCGATCTTCCTGCGTCCTGGGGGCTACAATGGCCTTGCAGTGTGGTTTCGGGAAATCTTTCAGAATAGCTTCTCTCTCGCCTTCCTCTAGAGTTCGGTTGAAGTGCTTTTCCAGAAAATTGACCATAGATAACGGAGGGTTCCATGTATCCTTGGGCTCTACACTCGGATCAAACTCAACTAGCTCTAGAGCCTCAGCTTCATCGAGCAGGTGTATGGGACCTCTTACGGCGGAGACAGGAAGAAGTGGCAGGAGTCTCGTCTGATTCCCGCGGCGTTGGTGGCATAATCTCCCGCGGAGACGTTGCACGATTGCGGGGGACCGTCTGCGAATTGAGGAATCCCCAATTTAGAAACGGCGGGAAAATGGGATAGGGAAATTGCGGCCAAAATGGCGCGGGTGGGTAACCGCTCCAACCACCCATAGACTTCCCACTAGGGGTGGAGTATATAGCTGGGTTCGCCCGTTGGTGTACCTTGAATGTCGTCCAGTCCCATCTTCCTAAGGAGAGCCGCTTTCTTTGACGGGTCCCTAAGGATTGCATCCAATGCGTCTTCCACGTTCTTGGCAGGTTCATTACCGTCTTCCCCGCCCTCGTTGCGAGGGCTGTTCTCGAGAGAGGGATCGTCGTTGCTCATTGTTTCAGTCGTTTGCGGAGCTGCAACTGCTGTAGCTAGCTGTGAGCAGCAAAATGAAAAGTCGACTATTGCACATGCGTGGCTCATTAAAGTTGCATTCCGGTTTCTGGTCAGAGCCTTTTCAAGTCAACATGCGGGCGGGCAGGTTTACTCATTATGTCGTTAGTACACTTACTAATATGACCACAAAAATTCATAGTGGGAAGACAGTCAAAACGAGACAAGTGCAAAACCATTAGTACAACACTGCGCAGTAAATAATGACCAAAACTGCGTTCTCTTGAAATAGGTTGCGGGCGGCGGACCAGAAACCGGTATACAACTTGGAGTGGCCTTATATATAGCATAGCAGACCGTGTGTTTGATGTTTTTCTATGCATCAGTCGGAGCTGTGAAAAATTGCTGTAATTTTTCTGTGCAAAATGAATATTATACCAGTTGAACACGCAGTGAATCTCGCAAAATATAATGAGTTATTTCTTAGCACATTCATATTAGTTCACATGAGCCAATATCTGTTCTTCTTTGTCCAGGAAAACCTGAAGGCAGTTGAAGTAGCTCAGAATAAGGAACTTGACTGCAGTGTCAAAACACTTGGTACATTGTATTATTATGCACAATTATTATGCAAAATATGCATACCTGAAGAATGTGAGTGCTCTCTGTGTAAATTATTGGCCAGCGAAGAAAGCCTGTGTAGACTCATAATATGATGCAATATTTTTTCATGTTTATAACAGTCCATCTACCAACATACCTTAATGTTTAATACGTGCAAAAACACACGCATAGCTAATAATTATTGAACTGTTCGCTTCGCTCGCCAAAAATGTGTTCCGTTCTTTCTAGTTGTCTCACTAACCACATACGCATAATTTATGCTACCTCATAATTATTTTTCCCCAGGTGACATCCCCCTTGGACCAATATCAAACTCATGTAAGAGATCATCTACTCTGTGTTCTGATCTTGTGTGTATTATTATTCTACTGTGTGTTTACGTATGTCAGATAATTCTAACATTCACGGGACGACATCTCAAGTCAGCAGTGGCTATGCCAGCAGTTGCTATGCCAGCAGTGGCTATGCCAGCAGTGGCTATGCCAGCAGTGGCTATGCCAGCAGTGGCTATGCCAGCAGTGTCGGGATACTCCCACACAGACGTTCTGAGTCACTACAGTGTAAGTGGGGTTGTCCCTATTAGTTACACATCCTGCAGGAAGTACGTACAGTGTCAATGGTAGAACTGACACTGTAGGTTTTAGTGTATAGATCACCTATTAAGAGTACATGTCACATGGTCTAATACCTTCATGTGAATGTACTGGCAGGATAAGGGTGCTTGCTGGCTTCATTGCCGCGGCCCAATCCGCATGCCAGATTGCGAGTTTGGGGTTTTGCTTGGTGCTGGCCTTGACCAGCAGGAGTGGGGAGGGGCCTAGGCTCCAAACCACGACTATGTCTGGGATGTGCAGCACATACCGGTGGCAAAGCCTTGTGGAGATGAATCTCATTAGTTCAGAACCACAAGTGCTGCAGCCTCGTGATGCGAGAGAGAAGTTGTGGTATGCTCTGCTGATGAAGGCCGAAACAGCTGTCCAGAGCTCCACATCATTTTTAACCCTCGGCGCGCATTCGCAGCGAGGGTTACGGTAGTCGTTCTGTCTGTCTGTCTGTCCTCGCGAGTTCTCGCACTACAGGCTACGAGGCGGCCAATGAGTGGCACCAACGGGTTGTGAACAACGTGAAAATGGATATCAACGTGGCGATTTTCCTGAAACGACTGCGTTCCAGAGATATGGCTTGAAAACAAGCGAAAAACCAACGTGCGATCGATCGCGCACGCGCCCTCTCCGGCAGGCTATATAGCGCGCACGCAATTATTCGCCGGAGCATGCGCTACGCCACGTTGGTTGTATTATACGATCCACGGGCTTCTGTCAGTTTTGATCTTGTTCTCCTTGCTAACCCTCGGCGCGCATGCGCAGCGAGGGTTACGGTAGTTGTCCCGTAAGTGTGTCTGTCAGTCTGTCTGTCTGTCTGTTACCACGTTTTCTGCCACCGCGCGCACGAAATCAGGTAAATAGCGAAATGACCGTGTTCAGTGCTACACTGGGTTGATTTTTAAAAAGGCGATTTTCGTAAAACTACTGTGTTTTACGTTATGGCGTGAAAACCAAGTGAACAAGCCAATATGTAAATTAGCACAGGCTTACCTCGACCGCGTCCGTTCGCTCTGTGTGTCTTGAAGGCACAACAAGTCACAACGAAAGGCATGTATCGACTCCCGCATGCTATTTACTACTGTAGCTAGCCCGTGCCAGACTCTCCGCGAGCTACTAGCGGGATACCACGAGTAAAAGCATAAAAAGCCCAGCCCATCAATTAGTGGTACCGCACATGCGCAGTTCGCCGAGGGTTTTCACTTTAGTGCTTTTCATTTTTTCAATGGATAAACATGCTGAGCAAGGTTTCGCAATGTAGCATAATAGTTCAGTTGGCGAGCAGTTTGTGGCTGCAGCGTTGTCTTCGCATCTATAAAATGTCTGGCGAGAACGTTGAAACACAGAAGAGCGAATAAAGCAAATATGAGAGCCTCTGAAACACATGAGCCATTGCTCTAACCGATAATGCAACTAGCTACCATGTGTTACAGCGAGACTCGTGTTACTGGCTCAGTCAATGATGCTACAACTCGTGCGTTTAGCCCCGAGGGTTTGCACTTTAGTGCTTTTCATTTCTCTTGGCAACAGTGGTCTAATACCTTCATGTTCATAATTATTGTGAACAGCAGGAATGTGAATGCCTTGCATCATTGTATTGTACAGGAAATTTGTCTGAGGTGGAATTGACGCTGTGGTTTGGGGGGTAACATACATGTCATGCTCAGCACACACACATAGCTAATAATTATTGAACTGTTCGCTTCGCTCGCCAAAAATGTGTTTAGCTGTTTCACTAACCACATACACATGATTTGTGCTACCTCATAATAATTATTAACCCTCGGCGCGCATGCGCAGCGAGGGTTACGGTAGTTGTCCCGTAAGTGTGTCTGTCAGTCTGTCTGTCCGTCTGTCTGTTACCACGTTTTCTGCCACCGCGCGCACGAAATCAGGTAAATAGTGATATGATCGGGTTCAGTGCTACACTGGGTTGATTGTAAAAAAGGCGATTTTCGTAAAACTACTGTGTTTTAAAGTTATGGCGTGAAAACCATATGTAAATTAGCACAGGCTTACCTCCGTTCGCTCTGTGTGTCTTGAAGGCACAACAAGTCACAACGAAGGGCATGTATCGACTCCCGCATGCTATTTACTACTGTAGCTAGCCCGTGCCAGACTCTCCGCGAGCTACTAGCGGGATACCACGAGAAAAGGCATAAAAAGCCCAGCCCATCAATTAGTGGTACCGCACATGCGCAGTTCGCCGAGGGTTTGCACTTTAGTGCTTTTCATTTCCACAAGTGATATCCCCTTGGGCAAAGATCATACTCATGTAAGTGACCATCTACCCTGTGTTCTGTGTATAATTATTTTACTATGTGTGTATACCTATGTCAGGAACACAGTAAAATAAATATACACACAGGATCAGAACACAGAGTAGATGGTCACTTACATGAGTATGATCTTTGCCCAAGGGGGATATCACCTGTATAAAGAGTACATGTCCATATTGTGAACAGCAGGAATGTTAATGCCTTGCATCATTGTAATGTGCAGGAAATTTGTCAATAGTAGAATTAGACCCTGTAGTTTGGGGGGGGTAACCTGTACATGTCATGATCAGCAGGAATGCCCTGGTTCATTGTACTGTACACCTATTTACGAAATTCGCCTAGAGTGAAAATGACAATGTAGTTTTGGGGCATAAATAAACATTTGATGTGTAAGCAGCAGGAATGCCAGCTACACTCTACCTAACTAGGGACTTGGTTTCTCACTATACGTAAGTACAGATTTGGCACCACAAGCTACAACACTGCCAAAAGTGGCATACTACACATTGGCATGGACATTGAAGCGCTATATATACTGTGTTTGAGATATTATTAGCAAGTAAGCACTGAACAGATATATAGTCATGAGCAATGGCTTACCTGAACAGGTTATTGATTGTTGCATCCAATAAGAAGTTACTGAGGGGAAAAGTATCCAATCCAGCATTGCCCCAAATGGAACTCTTGAGACTGCATGGCATGACCACTTCACTTGTTGTAAATTCAAGTCACTGCAGGCTCGCAAGCATTTCCTTTCCCCCGAGGGGGGTAAACCTCATGAGTTCTCTCTCTTCCACACAAAATATAGTGGCTTAATAATCTGTGAACACATGGGAGTATGAAGGCGGTACTTATACATTTTATATGCGCAACTTATATTATTTTGTTGTAGTACTAAACACGGGAGACAGGGAAATGATGGATCTCCAGCGAAAACTCACCAACTACAGAGGAACACTGACTGGGAAAAAGCTATTAAAAGAGGGCGTCATCAGGAAATGTAACAGAAGAGGAGCGAAAAAAGAAGTTTATCTCTTTTTGGTGAGCATGGAGAATAGGACGAGGGTTGCACAAAATTCATTTATCTTTATGTGACAGCTAACAGATGTTCTACTCTATACCAAGTACAATGAGTTCACCAGAAAGTACAGTGTTGCATGGGAGCTCTCCATCAGAGGAATGGAGGTAGTTATACGTTTCTATATACTCAATGTTTGTCATAAAGTGAGTTATGGAACATTACTAGTCAGCAGGCAGAGTTAGTGTACTTACACATTTTATACGCATCTTACAGTTCTCCAGAGGCGAAAGAAGGTTGGATATTGTGTGTACTTACGCATTTTATACGACGGCACTGTTGCACATACCATTATTCTATGTGAACCTCTAATACTTAGCAATCGTGCAATGGAGCAGTTTGTTGCAATGGTAGGCTCATTGTGCGTGGATCGTGGTACTGTTCTTTCTGTTCAGGTGGTGGACATGGAGGAAGGTGGCCAACCAGTGGTGAGAAATGAGCCACTCAGTTTCACTGTCACCAGCAAGGAGAGGGCCATTCATCTGGTAGCCAGGTCAGCCAATGCTACACTACTTCCACTAGTTGTCTGAATCGCACAATCTTATGTAATGGCCAACGACTCTGCGCCACATCAAATTGTGCATTTGCGAACATCACATTCAGCATGCAGTTCAGAGCTCACTTTGCTCTTCTACAAATGTGTTACATTTGTCTAGTGTACTAAAGGCTGCTGTTGTTATAATCCAGATGTGTTTCTCTTACAGTTCTCCAGAGGAGAAAGATGAGTGGATACAGGTATTACGTGTAGGATTTGAGTGAGCATGCATGATGATGTATAATGTGTACCCATCAGGCTCTGCAGAGGGCAATAAGTGACCTCCTTCTAGTTCACCATCACCTCACATCTGTGAGTTATGACTACAGCACTGGCACATACGTAGCTGGCTACACATTGCATAGCTACTCTTAAATATTCTGTAATGCTAGCATGGCCAGAGATTTATTGCTTGGGGACAATCAGCCCCTAGCAAATAGTCCCAATAACAGCACGTCTACTATTTGGGAGTGAGAATATCCCTGATAAGCATAATTATTAAGGGGGACAAATGAAGAGACAGAGGGACTGTGTCCCCTTGGTGCACTCTGGTGCCAGGCCCTGCGTCCATTCATAGAAGGTCTCTAGTGAATCTTTATCCTCCCTTCAGTCTAAGTTGCTGCCAGGAGCAGGGCTGGGGTCGCGAGCCCCGGTCTGGGTCCCTGACACCCACGTCACCGCCTGCCAGCTCCCCCTCTGCAACAAGAAGTTCTCTCTGATTGAGAGGAAACATCACTGTCGCCAGTGTGGAAGGGTTCGTATGTATTAGTGTAGGTGTCTGTGTGGAGTATGTGGCAGGGTCCGTATGTGTTAGTGTGGAGGTCTATGTGGCTGGGTATATGGACCGTATATACTTAGTGTTGGATCTGTGTGGCATATTATTATGTGTGTGTTATAGTGTTGGCTGGGTATAAGGGGTCTGTGTGGTACACATGTGTTAGTGTTAGGATAATAATAGTTATTAACCCTCGGTGCGCAGCAAGGGTTACAGTAGTTGGTTTGTCTGTGTGTGTGTTGACGCTTATACAGGCTACGAGGCGGCCTATTAGCGATAACAGCGGCTTCAGAACTACGCGAGCCTGAAAAATAAAAGGTGATTTTCCTGAAACGACTGCGTTCGAGAGATATGCCATGAAAGCGAAAAAGCCAATATGTTGATCCGCTCGCTCTATGTACCTTGAGGGCTCAGGAAGTCACAACGAATGGCATGTATTCAACTCCCGCATGCTATCTACTACTGTAGCTAGCCTGTGTCAGATTCTCCGTGAGCTACTAGCGGGACACCACGAGTATATAAACCCATACAAACAGCCCAGCCCATCAATTAGCAGTATTGCGCATGCACAGTTCGCCGAGGGTTTTTCATTCTAACAGAGTTAGTGAGCAAGCACAAGGAAAAAATGGCTACATCGTCAACATAATCTTCTTAACCCTCCTGTGTATTTTACATGTTACAGGTTGTGTGCAGTGGATGTTCGGTGGAGAGACGTTATTTAATCTACCTACAGAAGGAAGGCAGGGTCTGTAATGCATGTATTAAAGGTACGTATGGTTTAACTTACTTTCCTGAAAAGTTATAATCTGCCTTCTCACAGAGTTTTCTGGCCGCAAGTCACCAGGTGATGCCCACTTCAAGGACCCTATGGTATGAAGTTAAATTTATTGTGCTAGTCGAATTTTATATAAGTGTCTTTCATGCGTATAATACTGTCACGATACGTGACATAATAGCTAGCTGTAATAAAAGAATTGTTGATAGTACCATCTTAAAACCCTTTGGACGCCATGGTAAATAAGCAGAAATTGATGTATAAGGTATTAGCTGGCTGTAGTATAACTCCTTTATAAATTCTTAAGGACTTATGGAGGCTCTGGACACATTTATGTGTTTCGTGGCTGATTAAGTGTTAATCCTGCACTAAATGCACACGTCCATCTCTGGTGAAGGAGAGAGATGAAACGACTGTAATGTCTGGCTATGTGAAGAGGCTCTGCGGTGGAAAGACAGAGGACAAGTTTTACAGACTGCTTGTCAATAAAACACTCTACATCTATGGTGCCCATCAGGTAATGATAGAAGAACAACCAACCTTTCAAAACTGCTCATAATCTCATCGTCATTCATAGGACACAACAGCAACACATGTAATGATGCTGATTGGATATTCTGTTCAAGGGGTGAGCTTAAGTACACCTCTCTAGGTCAATAGCTATATATCCATTGACGCTTATCTCTCTATATTATTGTGTATGAGTAGGACCAGGGAGGATATAGGATAACTCTTACACACCATCAAGATAGAGAAGAGTTGAATGATTCGTTTATAACCACAGCTAAAGACTACGAAAGGTGTGTAGCTATGGTTCTTTGGAAACATGGATAATGTATGTTTCCTATTGTAGGTGGCTCAGTGCTTTGAAAGCTGCCTCAAGGTCCTAAACTTTTCAATCTCATAACTATTATAGCTGGGTGTTTTTAATCTTTCATAATTATTATTTTTATAGTGACCTACATTTGCATGTGCTATATATATCCGCACCAAAATCGCAGTATTATATTTACGCTAGATTGCTTTCCGACCAACTGACAATGTATGCACAACATTGTCACTTCAGTTGACAAAAATTAAAGGTAGCAGAAGTGAGCTAATTAACTAAATATTCATAAAAAGAGAGCCAAGGAATGCTGAGTACAAGGAGGATATCAATCATCGGTGACCTGGTGTAAGGAAATCACATCAGCAGCCAAGTCAGGCACCAGGCGCCTCATAAAAATTATCATAATTACGTGTACTGTGTATAGTTACTACATAGGTATAACAAAATGTCATAATTACGTGTACTGTGTATAGTTACTACATACATAGGTATAACAAAATTATCATAACTACGTGTACTGTGTATAGTTACTACATAGGTATAACAAAATGACATAATTACGTGTACTGTGTATAGTTACTACATAGGTATAACAAAATGTCATAATGAGATGACATAATGAACGTGATGTATAATGTATACTAGAACGAATGCAAAGCATTATCGGCCCCACAAATGTGGGAATTTGAGGATATTATGTACGGTGGTTTACGTAAAGCATTATGACAGTGCGTGTTGTGTCAGAATCGAGAAATCACACTATTCAGACGACTAGGAATTTAGACCCGCTTCGCTCACCAATAAGTATTATTGGCAGGGCTAGGGGTTAGACTAGACATTGGAACGACAATGGGAATACGAAAAAAATGTATTTCAGTGAGATTTATATCAAGAGATATAAATTCATACCAAACTTTTGGAATTTCATTGCTAAAGTGCACAATGCATGTACATTTGGTTGGCAGGAAATTGCAGGCTATACGATCCCATGGCCGGCTTCAGAGCTCACACTCTGATACTTCTGTGCACACGCATACAAGACCCTCTCACACGCTACCATCCTAGTGTACCTGGCAGCCATCAGGCACCCACCTACATAAGGCTTACACACAGCATCAATAGCCATAATAGCTGTTTTCCCCCAAGTCTTTAGGGGAAATCGGTTAAAATGTGCCAATGTACTAGGAAGTATGTATGATGTGGTTTGTAGGTGACCCCAAGGAACTGATAGTGTCAGTGGAGATATATATTCAAATCTGCTGTTTCATAGAGCTGGTATGTACATGCCCTCCCACAGTCACATGATCAAGCACACATGTCACACACACATACTTGCTACTAGTACATACCTCTTCACTTCCTAATCGGAAAAACAGGACACACTGTATTACATACCTCCAGTGTATAATGCACATAATATGTATGAGGTAATTGTAGCCCCATGAAGTGGTGAAGTATGTACTGACTCATAATAGAATGGTGTACATAGAGTCATGGGGTCATGGGGTCAAACTTGGCCACCCCTGCAGTACACATAGATCTTTGTCTTCAAGGGCGATGTGTGCCTCACTTCCTCCCGCCCCATACATTCCAATACCAGCCAATACCAGGAGCGGAGTCTGGAACCACATGATAGGTGTTCTGTAGCCGTGTAACAGGAAGTGTGTACCCCGCCGCCGCCACCACCACCGACTGAAGGACTGGCGGACTCGCTGGGTGACTGGCTGGCTACCTCTTCAAACCACATTTACAGAGTTTCACTGTAGCCGCATGCCCCGTTTGAGTTCGTGGAATGCCGTGTTATTGCGTGGAATGGAGTAAGGCCACACTCTGTACAGGATGAGTGACTGGTGTGGATGATATTACACCAGTACACGCTGTATGTACGTACCTCTCATTCCTCCAAAATTATAGCACCTGTAATAATGGCAAGCAAAGGTTGAAGGAGCAAAAATTAAGCTCAAGGCTAAGCATGCAATAACAGGAAGGGAAGGTGTAAGAAAATAATGGAATATAGGTAATGGGATGGCTACAGGAAAAGGGATTGAGGTTAATTCTTGCAGCACTCTGTCACGCCTTGCTGTTGCTGCCTGCACAGGTCACGTCCTGCCAGTGGAGGTAACCAGGCAACTGGAGTTTCCACAGCTGCACTAACAGAAGACCCAGAGAGGAGGGATCACCTGCAGTTGGCTGCTCACACCCCTGGCTTCTCCCTCCTTGTCCAGTGTGTGCCACTCTGGACCTTGCTGGATATTAGATACAAGAAGGCTCTAACAGGATGCCATTTCCCTTTGAAGTGGCCTGGGTTGCTGGTGCTCCTTTACTCCACATCAGTAGGTGGCAACTGACTGCTGATAGTGTCCTAAACATCAACACCATTACACAATGTCTGTCACTCAACCTGTCTATAGATTGAGAGCAGGGTTTAGCATGGCTTCACTTCTACCTCTGAGTTGTTTGCTCTGCACTAACATTGTCCTGACACCCTGTGAAAGACTTGCTCTCTCTGTGTGTGTGTGTGTGTGTGCCTGTTAATGCTAAGGATGCTAACCTAAGTGGTTTCTCTATAGCCTGTAAGCAAGTAAAACACTGTGGTATTGGTATAGCCTTGGAGTCTGGCAGATAAGCTTGGAGATGACAATCACCCACCAGAAAGAATGGTTAAACCAACAGCTACAATTATACATGTATATACACACTCATCACCAGTGTGCACCACTATACACTCATCACCACTACACACTCATCACCACTACACACTCATCACCACTACACACTCATCACCACTACACACTCATCACCAGTGTGCACAACTATACACTCATCACCACTACACACTCATCACCACTATACACTCATCACCACTACACACTCATCACCACTACACACTCATCACCAGTGTGCACAACTATACACTCATCACCACTACACACTCATCACCACTACACACTCATCACCACTACACACTCATCACCACTACACACTCATCACCACTATACACTCATCACCACTATACACTCATCACCAGTGTGCACAACTATACACTCATCACCAGTGTGCACAACTATACACTCATCACCACTACACACTCATCACCACTACACACTCATCACCAGTGTGCACAACTATACACTCATCACCACTACACACTCATCACCAGTGTGCACAACTATACACTCATCACCACTACACACTCATCACCACTACACACTCATCACCAGTCTGCACAACTATACACCCAATATACACCCAATATACACCTGGAGACTACTGCCTTGTCTCTATGGCAACTAGAATAGGGAAGAGATATCAGATCTTTCATACTTCCATCAAAAATTAATATGGAACTCTGCAAGGGAATTAATGCCTATTATTATACTTATGATGGTAATTGCACGACAGTACATTCCTAGCAGTTCTTTTTGGTGGATTGCACTATAATTATATATACAGTAGAACTACAAAATAGCACCAGATTTTAACAATTACGTGTCGTTCATAGAGGATAAACTAGCACGGATCGAAACGTATAAGCGAAAAATAATCTACTGTGCTATGGACATACATGTCCTCTATTCTAGTACATATCGAAACATACCTTACAGTATTAGCACTGCGCGTATCATTCATCAAGAGGTGTCCTTTATTCGGAGTGTGACTGCCCCTCCGAGTGTTGCACCTAGCAGCAGGCCGCAGCAGCTGAGGCCTAGCTGAGGTAAGAGCGTCTGGACAGCTCCGGTGCCAAATTAACAGGAATTGAGAGACGTTTGCGGGAGACTTAATCCAATTGCACTAATGTCATATACCTCGGGCTGATGTTTTGGCTAACGTTTGGTAATCTTGGTGAATTAAGTAGCACAACAGGCCAACCGAACAAAAGAATATCTAATTCGGGTGTTTTTCGCTGCATGGGGCAAACCGTTTTTTCCCGACGTGTTTACGCCTCAGTCGTGGGAGCATCAGCCAATGCCAGGGTCTGGAGGCTGTGTGGGTGTGGACAGTGCGCGAGTATCCATGGGCTGTGGGGCTGTTACATACCACGTACCACCCATTGTGAGGCAAGATATATCCCTCAGGGACAACTGTAAGACAGATGCCATTGGCGGATTGTAAGACAGCAGCGTGGGCTGGGCGACGGAAGGTCTGTGTGACTAGGGAGAGAGGAAGCAGCTGAAAAAGGGGAGAGTGAGAGAGTGAGAAGTGGCGGGAGGGAGGGACTCAAAGTGGAGTCAATGACGGCCACAGGAAGCCACCGGACCACCTCACTGTACTCCACAGATCGTCAGGAGATATACACCAGACCACACAGTGGTGGCCTGCCATTCAGGACATTGTGTGAGCTTGAAACGCTTATCATTTGACTAGATTTGCTTAGCCACAAAGTGAGAAGATAGAGTGAACATGTCTTTATGAAGAGCAAGAGACGGTTCACATACTTTCCCTGTGTCTGCGAAAGTTAGTAGTCATGCAATGCAGAAACAGTTCCAGAAGCTTCAAAGATAAATTGCTCTCCAAAATACACATTTGGTACACCACAGCCTACTACCACTTCCTTTCCCTTGACTTTATAGCGGCTACACTCTAGTATGCATGATGTAGAAGCTTTAACACACACACACACCGACACACTACAAACAAGAGTTGGTGCGGTTTGTGCACCAGGAAGGAAACGCTCAATTTCAACAGTCTGACACAGCAGGCACATACGCATGCACCAGGCAGACGGTTAGTCGGTCGGTCAGTTAGGAGAGCGGTGGAGGAGGGGGAGAGATGAAAGTAAAGAGAGGAGATGTGTGGGTACTTGAACGCTGGCCTTGTGCGTGTGTAAATGTGTGGAAACAGAGGCCCTTTGAACCCACACACTCGCTCTGAAATCGGCCGCTGACAAAGGGAGCTGGGATTCCTGAGCCATCAGATTGAATTATCCTAGGCATGCCGGGAGCCTGGAAGACTCGGCTGCTAGAGCTGCAGCGCCAATACTCTCTCGTCCCTCCACGACGACCAATTACCCAACAAGGCAATGAAAGGACAAGCTCACTCGCATTCTCTTTTTGTCTGCCACCTCATTCTAAAAACATTTCCTTTTCCCAACCCCCACCCCTCCTCCTTCTGCACCTTCTGTAATTGTCTGTGTGCGCGTAGAGTAGGAAAGAGAGCTAATATCGCCTGTGACTAAAAATACTTTCCTTACAGCGTGGTACACGAGGCTATACTCAACAAAAACGGCGGTAGCGCAGTGGTGTGGCACAGAAGAAAGTAGAGGGGTGGGGTGGGACAAAACACCAATATTATGTCTCTGAGTGTTGGAGAGAGGCCAGATGCAGGAATGAGGGGGCCAGTAGAGAGACGTGCAATACAGATACCTCTGTGTAAACCTTCAAGTTGACAGCGATGCTTTCGAGTATGTATGCACTCACACGATCTGGTGGGGTGGTGGGCATGTCGTCGGGATGCAATTTGTACGAGAGCGAAAAACACTAAATTGTTCCAGAACACACCTTGGGGTGGGAGCGCAGGTAGGGGGGGGAGAGGGGGAGGAGGCGGAGCCCCACTGTGGTAGTCATCTCCCACACACTGACTGCAATCATGGAGATGAAGTGCCTCGAAGTGTGCCTGGTTTTTCATATTGACAAGCCGTCCCAATATTGTAGATCTGTGTGAGTTTGGTTGTATGAATCCAAGAGGGTAGCTTTATGCCTTATGGCAAAGTGCATTCTCAACACAACTCTGATCGCAAGGTGGGTGAGTGCCGGTACGACTCGCAGAGTGTGTGTGTGTGCATAAAATTAGGAAAGGTGACGCAGACTCAATGGGGCCATTTCTGACGAGAGAGAGAGTAGGCGGGCAAACGAGGTGTGAGGTACGCGAGGAGAAGGCGACAAAGGCAGACGGAAAGTGTTCGTTCGTGCCCAGGGGCTCACCCAAAAACAAGAGTCAACAGAAATCCATCAGTAGCTTAGTAACGAGGCGGCAAAGACACAGTAAGGGGGTGAAGGAAAACTATGGTAATGGAAGAACTGTGGTATACTTTTCCCCCAAACGGGTAGCGGCACCGGCGCGATCCATCACCGCCAGACAAACAATGAAGTTTATACGCGGTGCTAGGACTAACAGTGTCCTCATGTCTCCCTCCCCCCGCACCTCGCGCTACAACAACAGAGGCAGCGAGAACGTCCACACGGGGTGCACCCGTTCCTCCCTCCCACACCCGACCACAGGCCATTTCCTTCCCCCCGTCCGTCGCCCCTGAAAGCAGCTGGATGCTTGCCGACCGGCACCACTGGAAGAAGTGGTTAGTGCACATCCACAGTTTCCCAGGCACTGGAGCAGGGAGCAAGCTGAGAAAACAAACAGTGAAGAGAAGTGTGCGTGCAAACACACACACACACACACACAAACACACATGCGAAACTTTTTCACTTGGTGACCGCCCCCGCACTCCCCATTGAAAGCAGAGAAACTTTCAACAGCATAATTGACTCTTCAATGTGAACAGATAGTGAAGGTCCCGGTGGCTTTCACTGACTTTCTTTTACAATTTTCTCTATCAGATCATCGGTACGTACGCCCCTCTTCCAACTACCTCTGTGGTGCGTTTCACCATCTGGTTCCAGCCCCAGCTTAACCCTCGCTCACATGCATACAGTAGGTGTGTGTGTGTGTGTGTGTGTGTGTGTGTGTGTGTGTGTGTGCGTGCACAGTCAAAACTCCCACCTTACAATACACTCTGCCACCGTACAACACATGGTACAGTAGACATGGTTTTCGACCACTCACTGTGCAGTTGCAAGTTGACCCATTTTACTTTTGAGTTTTGGTTAGAGTGGGTCCAGTCTTTGGTTGAGTTGACTGATCACATACACAACTGAATGACTTCAGCCAACAGGCGTGGGTCCATGGTATAGTATACAAGAGGTCACAAAGAGGTCAATCAGCTTCCTAATGTTCTTACAGGGAAAGTTCCACCTTTTCTGAGAAATATGGTTAGTGCATATTAACATTCAGTAGCCAATAGACCACAGGACACATTGTCATACTTAAATCATAGATGTATTGACTACCATGTGGGGGTTGAAATGTAAGGGCTGCTAGCATTGTTCCCCGCTTGCACAGGTATCAGTCACTAAATTCGCTTCCTAACCTTCTTCTTACAATTGAGAGAGTTCCAAGAATTACTGCTTGTGTTTTGAGAACCAACCACAGGACACTTCCACATAGCATCATACCTAGCATCGCATCATGCGTAGTAGATGTACGTATACATAGGACTAGATGAGAATGCATGGGCTGTTATTGACGAAGGGTTAGCCTCGTTCCATGGGCCTGGGAGCGAGGCCAGCAGATGGAGGATTAAAAAAAATATTCGTGACTTAACAAAATTATGACTGAATGGAAAAGAAATTTGAGGGGCAGGTTCCTCCCAACTGGGGCGCAATGTTTGTGTTGAGAGGCAAATGTACACAACCAGGAAGTAGATAGAAACGAATGGTATGCTGACTATCTGGCAATATTTCTCCATAACTTCCCCTCAGACAAGTAGGCTGGCTAGACTACATATTCCCAACAGAGCGTCTTCCTGTGCCACCTCTGATGTGCATACTTTAGTAGACACACCTTTTTACTATCATACATGTGTGCATAGTAGGGCACAGGATATTAGTGTCATCTTATTGCTGTCTGCCCAATAACGACGGGGGAAATTTAGTATCTTATTGTATATCTATGGGGCAATTCATCATCCTCCTATCTTATACTAAATTATGATTTTGCAAGTGACATCAGAAGCCGTGTACGGCCGGTGTAGCTCGCGTGTTTGTGTGTCAATATGTACACGGATGTTTGTGGGTAGGCAGCAGGTTGAAAATGCACAGAGCTTTGAAGACGAAGAGACGCAAATAAAGTGCTTGCACACACACACCGCGGAAGACCTGGAAACGAGGCCAAAAGTGTAAGTGGCCCTAATAACTTGGCTCCAACAGCATTCGGGGATTGGAATTTGGGATTAGAATTTGGGATTAGAATACGTACGCATGATCAGTACCAGTCGAAGGGAGGTACATACGTACAACACCTCTAATGGCTCTTTTGCTGATACAGACAGTGGGAGAAAGAGAGAGAGAGAGACAGACAGACTGCAACGACAAAGCACACATGCTCACACAAAGACACAGGAACTGAAAGACAGACTGACAGACACTCACTGTCGTTTTGAGTGGCTCTGTTTTCCCGTGTGAAGATGCCCTTGCGTCGCTCGCCATCTTTTGACCGGCTCTCGCCAGGGCTGCAGGGACACAAACATCACAAGTCAACAAACCGGACAAAAACCTGGTCGGAAAGCCAGACAATCTGGTAAAAAAATAATTGATCGAAAATTCTGTAAACACACTTGGACATACTGATAAACACACAGAGTTGACAAACAAACAACAACAATCCGACAAACTGAACAACAATCCGGTAGAAAAACCAGGACAATCTGATATGCAAACTGGACTGGTATTGATCACCCATTGACCAGGGCGCGACACACTCACACATCCTGATCACTGGAATTATCAAGGAAATGTAAGTCTGATCTGCCCCGTTTTCTGAGAACACCACACTAGAAAGTGGTTACCTCCTAGCCTTCAATATCCTTCGTAGCACGTCTGGGTAGTAAATGGAGAAGGCCAGGGTTTCGAGGCTAGTCACCTACTGTACGTGGTGGATACTCAAACCAACACACAAAACATGCATGTCGTGTCATATGGTTCATTCGTTCGTATGTACCTAACATGATGCAGGCATATGCCTCACTCCACAAATACTACATTCCCAAGCTCCATAGCTTCACATTTAGAGGGGTTCCAGAACTGAACAGGCAATGCTGGAGGTCCCCCTCCCCCTGCTCCTACGTATAATTATTATATCCCCGACTATATAGGTCTGTGGTCTATCAGATCACACAGAGAGACCGTGAATCCCTATCAGTTGTGGGACCAGCACACGGATTGCTGAGTCGACCACAACGTGTGATAGTCTCAGGCAGACTCAATAACCAGAACGAAACAAAAAGGAAGTATCGTGTTTCAATTACTCATTACTTCTAGAGTAAATAGAGCGTGTAAACAAACCTTACCTTTATTCATGCCCATGGGAGCCTTGTGTATATACACACATTACAAAGGGAGCGTTAATTTCTTGATTGTGTGCATTACTCTTGCAGTGTGTGTGTGTTGGAAATGCATATTGTATGTATGTCAGCTCTCTTTGGTCAGTGGAAAGCTGGTACACTATACGCACTACAAAGGGGCATTTAAAACAGTGTCATTTTATTTATGCCGTGCATTTTGAAAGGAGAAGGCTATACACACACAATGGGGTAGTTTAAAAAGTGTATAAAAGGCATTCTATCTACATACCTCTTTATTATTGTGTAGACATTACGGTAGCATGCATTTTGAAAGGAGACAAGAGGCTGGAGGGCTACAAACAGTAGTAGACTGCTGTGTCAACTCTCCCAGACTAAGTCAACCAGTGATGTCCGTCTACTGCCACTATAAATCACATTAATTTCTCCACACACATACAAAGGTACATACACAATGACATAAGGTTCGAGACCTGTACATCCGGGTAGCAGCGACCCAGCACGTGAATATTGTTGTCGGTAAAAGCATTCATTTACAGAGTTTCGTAATTCCGGAAGCACTCCACGGGCTCCCTTGGCCTACCGGGTCATATTCCGTGAGCCGAAACATCACTCGGTGTCAATTGTGAATAAGAACCACAACAGTGGAACTTGACGGTGCCCGACACACGAGAAGGCCTGCTAGCAATCACTCCATGAAAGCGTTTCAACAGTGTTTCCATCATGCACAGCTTGGTAGTAAAAATTACCTTCCATACCAACCTTTGTAGCTATATTTCCCCTTGTTTGGCCAGTGTGGTATATGCAGTGTACACACAGTATAAAACCACACAAACAAAATTCATCCAGATGATGCAAAATTCAGGTGATGCAATACTGAGAGTGTCGCCCAACTGCTTCATGTACACGTCATACACACGTGAGACCGAGTGAAGTAGCCACTCTTCTTACGCTGTACTCTTGCGGAGTGTTGGTAGACACAACAGAATCGCACGCTAGCAGGTCCACCCGGACATAATTACTACACCAGGCTTCCATATATGTAGCGGTGGTCAGGTTAAACTAATAACTGCACGGCCCAGATGAGGGTGAATTTGATGTCCACACCCAAGGAAATGGTAAACACAATAACTGTTCAACGCACTGCAAGGAGACTGCACATGTTGTACAATGTACAAGTAGATGGGGTGTACATGTTGCACATGTTGTACAAGGTACAAGTAGCGAGTGTACATGAGCATGTTGATATGTACACTGATGTTTGTGTACATGTAAACGTTGTACTTGGGACTTGTAGATGTACATGGTGACGGCGGTAACGGAGATGGTAGTGATAACCCGGACAGCAGGGTAGCTGCTGGGGCCTAACAGCCCCAGAGCAAGAGTCGTACTGGCATCCAAGGTGGCTATATGATGCAGTATGTGCACGAAGTGAAAGTTGGTCGAGCATCGGTTCTGATCCTGCCTACGAAGGTACATACTGAAACCACCAGCGACAGATGGACGCCTGATCTGCTAAACACACACACACACACACACACACACGTAGGGACTGAGCAAAAGAGGGGAGATTTTAACCTGGAATTAACCACAGCTATTCCATTCAGAACCGAGATTTCCATGTTTGTGCGTGTAAGTATGAGTTGTGTGCGTTTGTCAACATGTTTGGACAGTGGGGCAGTTCTGTGTTTGTTTTTGGTAGGGCGTACTACTTACTCCAGTCTGGACATTTTTGATCAAATCAATACTGAACAACAGGAAGTGCTGCTACATATCCAACTACACAAGGATAAAGATGACTGGCGACTGCGAAGCTACGTAATACGGTAGCCCGCTCACCTGCTTCGCAATCATTGCTCTTTTTCATGTCCTTGCACATTCTCTTGGACACTGCCTGCATCCTGTGTGGTGCGACAATTCAATTATGGAGACACAGGACATGCATGCTTTGAATGAATGGAGCTTTCTCCACATGCTTTTGCCAATCGTGATGTCAAATACCGGATTTCAGAGCTATTATGATGTTTGAACTTTTGTACTTACATATCTACGTATGTAAAGAAAAAGTATTGGTGAACTATGAGATGCCCCCATGAACAATTTAGTGAATTTGCACATACACGGTGCTGGTCTTATAGCTGTGGGTAATGAATGAAGAAACATGGCCAGAAATGCCAGTTATGTAATTTAGACATCTTTTTGATGCAAATCAAACCGATGCAAATCAAGATACGTTAGTGAATATTCACATTACAGTGCAGGGTGCTATAGACATTGTGTACATCCTGTGTGTGTGTGTGAATCAGTCAATTGTGTGAACACACACACAGGATGAATGGGACGAATATAGCCGTGCATTCACTCACTGCCTCATCTTGTTGATTTCTCTTTCAAATTCCACGTCTTCCTGCAGGAACCACATGATGGGCGCGTGACATGTGTGTGTGGTCGGGTGGGCGGTTGGATGGATACGAAAGGAGGAATAGAGGGGGGAAGGAAATGCAAGAGAAAAGAAAATATTCAGCATAATAGGGCATAATTCACGCTAAGTAACCAGGAAAGCAGTTGCTGCATTTTCAAACTTTCAACATAGCACACTTTTACTAACACACATAAGGGCTGTGTTTTCTCACGTAGTATATTGAGTGGGAAACTTTCTTATTATTATTATTCTTAGTTTTAGTGCAATCATCGGGCGAAAGATTTTCTCCACAAACACACAGTGTAAGGTAAAGACCGTTGCAACAATGCGACAAGCAATCCCTGAAAAACAATTTTCTCTGCAAAATTTGTCTATCTACTACTGTATATATTTTCTCTCAAGGCATTAAACTCGTGCAGAGAAAAGTTTTCAGCGTTGTTGGAACATATTCAAATTGCTCACTAACAGCAAAATGCATATAATTATGTTCGCATGCTGAGCATTGCACATTATACGTACATCCATGTGAAAACCTGCATACATACATACATACATTAATACATACATCTTTCGTGCTACAAATACATTATCATGCACGGAGACATGTTAAGAAGCATTATTCAGCAACAGCACTTCCTTGAGAGTCACAGACACCCAATTCCATTTTTTCCCCCTTTTCCCAGAAATTGCCAGACTGAAGCATTCTCGACAGTTGAGATACTACTGTACATTCTCTGTTCCAATCACATGATAGAATCCTACACTAGCCGAACAGGATATGGAAAGTGCCTGCTGTAGTTCAGAAGACTGCTCGGGAATGCAGAGTATTGGGTCCATTTCCTTTATGCAGGAGTCAGCTCAGAGGAAGAGTGAAAGTAGGGACTGGGACCTTCCACCAACTTGGCTCAACTAACTGATCTGGTTTTCACTACCAAACAACCATGGGATGCATATACAACTACTGTAAAAGGAGACTAACTATGGGATGCTGTGGGGATAGTGCCCACACTTCAATTGATCCTGGCACAAAAGTTACTTAGAGGGGCAATACAATTATGTGTGTGAAACAAGGCCAAGCAAACGTAGAGAGAATATCATACATACCTTTACTTCACGTTCAAAAACGATACTGGAAGTTATAGCGGCTTTGTTAAGAAGCGTTTCGTTCAATTCTAATGCGGTAGACTTGAAATGGTATTCAGTGCGTAGGAATCACTAATAATGCCACGACAGACGTCTTCCTTCATAAACAGCCTGTGAACTGAAACCTGGATGCACCATTTTCACAGGCAAGTCTCTCTCAAAAAGGCAAGAAAAACACAATCCGCTTCCCTTCTGAAAATGAGAGATGAGAGGCACATCAAGACACATACTAACAACCCACAGAAAATGACAGGGTCCTCAGAAGAAGAGTCTAATCAGAAGGTGTCACTCTTTAAAGCAGCACGTCCAGCTGACAGCAACCAACACAATACTTTCACCCCACAGAATAATGACAGGGTCCTCAGAAGCTTGGGTTAAATTCGAAGTACAATGAAAGTGACGGCAGATCAGCAAGCCGCCATCACACTGTCTGTCTTTAGGTTATATGCTTTTTGTCCTTCAAATGTATGGCTATAATGCTGGGGCTGTGTGACAGGTGTGATGGTGTAGAAGCTGTCACTCATTAAAGAGTTGACAGCAACCAACAGCTACTTGTACAAGAGACCAGAACTTAATATTCACAGCCCTCAACGCCCGCTACATGACTGTCTTGTGTGGGGCTGGTCAAAATCAAGTCAGTGTCAATTTCACGCTAATAATGGAATTATTATGCAACCCTCGATAGGGACATGAACGAAAGACAAAAGAGTTCTTGCGAAAGTAGAATAAACCACCATTTTATATCTCAGCAATACTGGACGAGCCTATAAAAGACCAGGGCTACATGAATGTGATGGCTATGTGTACGTAATCATTAGTTAACTCCATGAGTCAACCTTAGAGTGTCCATTGCATAAGGCACTGGGTATATACCAGTTAGTATAATCATATACACCCACCAAATCGGCAGCAAACCTGAGTGCCATTGACTCAACAGAGTTCCCTGTGTGCAAACAGAGACCTCCTTCCCTTTGATGTGGTGTACGGTATGCAATTGGGCAACAGGAATGCCTCAATGCCCGGCATGCTTCGATCAAACTTGGACATCTTTCATTATTTGGAAGCTCCTTCTCGCCCCATCGCCTCTCATCAAACAGAAATTCAGTGTCTTTGAAGAATAGACTTGCATCATAACCACACACAACAGACCAGTAAGTGCTTCATAGAAATGGACTCACGCATGCCATGCAGTGTTCGCATGCTGAGCATAACACACACACATCCGTGTGTATACTTAGATAGGTACGTACTTCTACGTACCTTACATGCCTAAAGGATTACGTAATGTTTTACATTTTACCCATAATCACGAACGCAATGATCAACGGAATGCACTGTGTTGACTATACGTATATAACACGCCTCTCAACCATAGGCACATCATACAGGGGTGGGTCTTGAGAAGGGAATGCGTAATGTAAGTCCGAACCAGCTTTCATCACAAGCCAAGCGTCAGCTCATGAACCAAAATCCGCCTCACGATTTAAACCATTCCTTTGGTCCATCAGCCCTTCCACTTCTAATCTATGACAGGAGCATCCTCTTCAACTGAGTATTGGTTAGTTTACGCAACGACTGTACTTTGTGTACTTCCGGTTGTGCCTCTCATCTCACCCAGTGAGTGCGTGTGTGATGAGTCAGTGAGGAGCAGTATACGTGGATCGAGACTCATGACCTCATCTGCAACTGAAAGCCCTGGAATCCTCTGTGGTGGATATGGCTGGCTTCTGCAGCAGTTGTGATGCCAGAGTGGTTCTCTTCCTGGATTACTGGCTTCTCACCTCCTCTGCCTTGGTGGGCTTTCCTGGCCAGAAATCTCCTACTTCTAGGGATTTACCCTCCCAAAAACCCCCTCTCCCTTCTACTCATTTCCTCTCTCCCTCTTATCCTTTCCAATTCTGACCTCCCTCCCTCCCTTCCTCAGTCTCTTGCCTTTTTCCAAGCCACAAATACTGTGTGTAGGGGTTCAGTAAACCCTGCATAATTACACACTCCCTCCCTCCTTCGCTTTTTACCTTCCACCATTCCTCCTATCGCCCTCCCTTCATCCCTCTCGTGTCTCCTCCAAGCCACAACATTATTGGGGCTCAGTCGAGCCCTAAAAAATTAGCGCACTCCTTTGTTCCCTCCTCCCTCTCCTCCCCTCTCCCCTCCCTCTCTTCCTTGCCATTTCCAAGCCACAAATTATTGTGTGTGGGGACTCACCGAACCCTGCAAAATTGATATGAATTACGTACGCCCTCCATCCCTCCTCGCTCTCTCCTTCTTCTCCTCCCTCCCTTCTTCTCTTGCCGTTTCCAAGCCACAAACTCCGCAGCCCAACACTACACCTGTGTTGTGTGTATACATCAGAACACCTGGATGGCTGGACGTACGTGTGTGTAAGTGATGCCCAACAAAGCCACCTGCTCTCACATACGTAGTAGATAGTGCTTCGGACCTTATTATGCTCAGTATAATATGGGATGATGCAGCTCAATGACAAGATCAACCACGCCGAGTACAAAGATTCAACAGTGCAGAGGAGTTAAATGCAAGGGTAACTTAGTTTATAGGGATGGGCATGGTATATACCTAGCATCATAGATGTATGGGGAGTTTGTATGGCTAAGTGCTCCATACATTCAGCCATACATTCAAGGCTCGATGGTGCTCTGTAGCAATGTTGTCTCAGGCTCCTAACACGGGAGGGAAGGAGATTGAAAAGTAATAGCTACAGTTTCTTCCGAAAATGCTTCCGCACCTCCCACTAAACTGGGTCCAGAATGAAGCCCCGAGTGTGCAGGCACTTATAACAATTATGCCAGCCACTCCAAAAATGTTAGCTAACGGTACGTTCACTTATAGAGCTACAGAACTCGTATCGCTGCATAATAGTAGTAAGCCGTTGCGTACGACACGTGGCTGCTACTTAAATAACCAATAAAATGCCCCTAATTACTTTTATCACACACACAGAGAATGGTACTTTGGAGAGCAGAATGTAAGGGGTTCAAATCCAACTGAGAGAAGCTCTAGACAAAGTGTTGGTTTGGGTCACCAGTTTCAGTGACTGTAATATTGCACAGTGACATACAGCACTAGACAGGCTGGATTCCAACACCTCTCAATCAACCAACAGAGCTCGGGAGTAGCCCCTAACCTATTTACACCTAGACTATATACGACTCCAAACAGGAACCAGCTTCACTTTGAAGCCTTCGCAGTCCATCGCACACTCAATTAAGCGATTCCTTCTTCACCGACTCTAATAATCGGTCCCTCTTGGTTAGGGGTAATGCAATTAGGGCGCAGGCTCTGCTAATTGGTGGCAATTTAGGCCCTCTTGGGACAAAAGTCGCTGTGTGGCGTGTGCAGCTCGAGTCTGGTGTCAGGTAAAGGTGCGATGTCATGAAACTGCAGCAGCCAATTTTGGAGGGGTCAAAAGATGGGAAAAATGCAAGCGAGACTGTCTGTGTTTACGCGTCGATTGGCAAATATCTGGTGTTGCAAAGCACACTTCTCGGAATGAGGAGGACACACCTTTGGGAGAATAATAACACAACCAAGTGTTGTTACTCACAGGAGCCGGACATTTCACACTAGTTATGGCAGATTTTCTCGAAAACAAAATCGTCACTAGAGTAAGAGGCAAACCCACACCACGTGCATTACCAAATCTCACACTCCAGCCAAAAAACCCCAAAATTAGGACTGTCCATATTACCAGCCCTCTGGGAAAGATCGTAGTATATACGTTGTTTACTACATGGCCAGAGCTTATGGTCTCAGGAGAAGACAGCGTGGTGTGTGGGGTGGGGGGAGAGAGGGGGAGAGGGAGAAGCCCTTAGCGAGTAGATGTAGGGGATTTTCAAGAGAAGGGAAGCCAGAGGAGTCGTCGAATCACTCCAGGCGCACTTGTTTACTGAATCACATGATGATAGGCCTGTGTGTGTGTGTGTGTGCAGGCACCTGGTCGGGTACAAATAAGGAGGTGGAGAGGAGAGACAGGAGGTGCTTCTCTCAAGCCCTGCATGGCCTGCCGCTGCCTAAACCGGCTAGTGGTTAGAGTAAGTGGAAGGCTGCACCAAGAAGTATGCAAATGCCTGACACCGTACATTCCAGACAACAGTCTGTGTTGCCACACCACTCTACTCTGTGTCACTGAGCCAGTGAGGTTTTCTGCTGCATTTCCATTGGTCACATGCTGCAAGAGATGCGCTCCAATAGTCAAGTCAGTGCATGCACGTGTAGTGAATGTTTTCCAGCCACTACTTTTACTTTCTGTCAGTGGCCGAGACCGAAGTCTGGACCCTCCCAACAATGCCCTGATAACAGGGGCAGGGCAATAAAAATTGTGATATTGAAACTTGATTAAGTTACCTGCAAACAAAGTGAGCCTGGCAACCCATTGCTGGGCTGGAAAACAAGCAACTCGGCTAGTTCCCAAGGTTGACTTCCATACCAACTGCTCTCGATACAAACCCACAGAGTGTCCCAAGCATGACCAGGGGATCTTTTAGTGTGTCGTTACTGGGGCACTTGATATACAGGTAGCCAGAGCACCTGGAGCTGGCGAACCACCTGAACTTGCTCACCAGGTCACAGAACAAGCCAGAAAAACCCTAGCAGAGGCTTGTGATGCACATCACAGGGTGTCCTGCTGGGAGGTTGAAATCTTTGGAGTTGGGAGTGCTAGCCACACACCTTAGGTCATAGATCAAGCCAGCAAAGTTGAGGATGTGGTGACTGCATGCATGGGAGGTAAGTCAGCTGCAGGAGCTGGCAATACACCTCAACTTGTTCACTGGGTCTGGTGTACCTAGATGGACTTTAATCCCAAATTGGACAGAACATAATTATGTGCAAGAGGCACAGTGAAAGTATCGCGCCATAGAGGCGCCTGGGGTACTGTGCTGGCTGGGAGGAACTTCTGCACACCCCACATATCCGTGACCTCCATCACCACATCAGAGCTAAAACGACTTGCCCCCTCATTACGCTAACGAAGGAGAGGTGCCATAAATGGGACTGCATTAACCGTGTGATTGGCACCAAAAATCACCCAAAAGGATACTCGGAACGCAATAAGAGACTGGTTCACTAGTCCCACGTCACTCACATAAACATTTTCAATTCTCGGAACACACGCACTCGACTAGCACGCACGCACGCCGACCGCATCAAAAATTAGAGTTTCTAGTTTCCATCGCGGGAGAGAGCCCCGCACTTGGCTCCCTGCCACTACTGACGAGAATTCGGTCGGCGTCGCGGCCCACTCTGCAGCACACACCCCCAGCAACAGAGGAGCGCACCAGGTCAGCAGCTCCCCCATCAGCCAAACCTAACACACAACACACTCACACGCCGAATGCCATAAAAATCACACCGTTGCACGTACGACCTACACACCTGCGACCGTATTCAGCGGAGACTGTGTGCACGGGAGAAAAACTTCAAAGAGCAGACTAATCTGTAGTTGCGGCCTCCACACACCAAACACAACAATTTGTTAGTCGTCACACACGCCGCGTGCAAAGGGTGCACACGTGCAGAATGATGGATAATTTTTGGCATACGCTCGTGCATCTACTACACCATCCAAAAGTACCTACACAGTTGACCAAAAAGAATATGTGTGCTCAGGGCATGGAATATTTATGGTTATGCTACTACGTATGCTTTGGACTCTTGTTTAGATTTACCCAAGTCTCAAATATACGTAACCGTATGAAAAAGGGCACTATTCTTACAACGCCCTTAAAATTACAGCCTGTTTCAACGTAATTGCTCGTTAATGCAATTATGCATGTATGCAGGCATTCAGCTTGGCGATGCTCCCCTATACAGTTACTAAACACTCCATCTGTATACCAAGCAATTTGCATTACATCACCCCAAAGTTAAAAATAATTTAGAGAGAGGGGGTTTTTGGGGCAAAGGTATAACACGTGTATAAATCAATTACAGTAGGCAAGCTGGTCACGCAAGTACAAGCAAGTGTTAATTATTACTGGCCAATGTTTATTGACTGTCGATATTAACAAAGTGCAAATATGCGTCCAAACTAACCAGTGTTTCTATACAGCTAATTACGACAGTGGACACATTGATACGTAAACATATACGGCTTGGCGTACCCCCAGCTTTAGTAGGCATATAGTGCTACAGTTCCTGTGCACACAAGACCTTTGGAGTTGGGGAGGGCTTGTGTGAAAAGAGTGGGCCTTTTTGGCCCGTGTCGCTCGTTGTGAAATCAAATAAACTGCCATAACGATCGATTATATACCCACAGCGATAATGGGACAGGCTTTAATCGAATCTACCGCCAATTTGTGTGTATGTGTATGTGTATACAGTGGACATGTTGATAGGTGAGCAAACATTATCGAATCAACTGCCCAATGTGTGTGTGTGTGTGTGTGTGTGTGTGTGTGTGTGTGTGTGTTGTGTGTGTGTGTGTGTGTGTGTGTGTGTGTGTGCAACTGTACAAACACCGTTTGTCAAATGTCTGCCTCTATGCAGGCATGGAAAACAGAGAGGGAATATTAATATTGTGAAACGACATGAACCCAGTGTTAAAAGTATTCCACTCTCCCTCAATATTCTGCATTTGCATGGATACACAAAAGTAGCAAAAATGCTAATGTTATATGTGCACCTGCTTATATTACTAGTAATAATAATTACTACCCTCCGTAAAGACCTCAGGATGGCTGTATAGAGGAAGGCGCTTGAGGTGAATGATTTGGTGACAAATTTGGATCTTTGCAGAGAAACTAAACCAACACACACCCACAAAAAATTGGCAGAGAAAACCGGCTCCCAGACCGCGAGAAATTGCCAAAGTAGGTCGTACGTGTACCTGCAATACACACACTCTCAGTGTATATATATATATATATATATACACTCTGGAATTTCGATCCTGCGACACCAGAGTCTACCGTCTCACAACGTCAACCATTAGCACACACACGGAGGTCCCTTTTTTGTAGTCTAAACTTTCAACAGGACTCTGTGGAATGCAGTTGATTTACAACGTATTCGGTATCTTCCTTCCCGATATCATACCACAAAATGCCCAGTGAAAGCAAATGCCATACATCGGTATGCAAACACGGACAGGTGGTCTGCCAATTTCCTGAAAAGAAGCCCGCCGATTGGGCTGGCCCCAGACGGAGCCCGTCACCATCAATTAATGATGTAATCCACCGCTTTCCCCGCCTCCTCCCAGCTACACACCCAACGTAAACAGCTGCCCTCCTTGCACAATCGGTCCATTATATTATGTGGAAAATTAAACAGTGCTCCAATACTACACTCTGTAGCACACATACATCAACTCTTCACCATTCACCAAGCGTGGAGATCGGGAGTGAGATGCGTGGAATAATATTCCGGTGAAGAAAGATATATCCGCGCCACGCTTACACGCTTACCATTACTCAAATTCACTATGTATTAGCATTGTCCCAAGCATTGTCCCAAAATGTGGGTTTCACCTGATTTGCTCATCTTTGGCTGATTATTGTACACACTGTGTATGATATGTACATGAGCACCACTGCATGGTTTCCGCCTTGGGGGCAGTGGCGGTCCAGCGTCGCTAAGGCGGAGGGAGGGTGTGGGGCGAGTCGCTGCATCAAACGCCGCAGAAGAAAAACATGTGTACAGCAAGAAGATTTCGCATCGTTAATGAGATCCATGATTGCACACACAGGTACAAGTTTAGGCAATTAGCGTGTCATGACATCGTCCCAATTAGACTGGTTACACCGTGAGGCGATTTCGCTGCTGAATAGGAAACCACGCAAATCGCATCACTTGTGTCTCCAACAAATGCCCTACTGATTTCTGTCACCGTTGCACATCCCATCACACATGCATGCACAGTTTCCATAAAACAAACAGTTTGCAACAGCACGCCAACGGTCGGTTTCCATAACTGCTGTCAATCATGCCTTACATGGACAGGTGGCCATTCCAGTGGGAGAGTGGGATTAGGAGTAATCCACTTATCCCAGGTCAGCCCTCCCACACATCTGCTGCACGCTGCACACACGACTTTGTTATATATCCTCTCTCCGTTGAGAGGCTCTCTCCGCCCTTCCCTTCGCCTTCCTCCCTTCTTCCCGGCCTCTTCCCCACTTAACATCTCTCTCCTTCTCCCCTCCTTCCTCACTCCTATTTTCTCTCATAATTATGCTGCATGCTGCAAACCACGCAGTTTCTATCCTTCTCCTCCTCTACATTTCAAAACCTCCTTTTCTCTCTCATTCTATGTTTCTCTCCCTCTCTCTCTCTCCCACCTTTTGTCACTCTTTCTCGGTGCAAGACGTGTCGTGAAACATGGACACATCGGATTGGAATCCACAGAAGACCACACTAACATAGATCATGGCAAGACCTCCTCATAGTAGTGCATCATTCAGCATGGCTTTCCAAACAGGATGTGCATATATACGCCACTACAATACAGCTTCTCACAAATAGTGCACAGCAGACATACATGGGATGGACGCACACACAACACTACGTTTACTCCACGAGCAGCACATTGACAGTTTAGCATGTACAAATAGGGGAAAATGAGCGAAACGAAAACAAACTACACAGAGCTTTGTTGATGGGAAAGAAGGAGAGAGAGGGAGAGCTCACCGCTCTGGCTCTGCGGCCGGAGGAGAAGGCCTTCTTGAAAGGATTCCTGGATGGCAAGAAGTGGGCGGCTAAATAAACACCAGTGCATTACACACATAGGACTGTACACACTGACACTAAGCAGGGCAACAGGCAACAACTAGGTAACTACTGTGCACAAACACATGTGTTAGAGCAACAGAAAAAGGAGTCACGTACACAGCGACGCTAATGAGCGTAAATTAAAATGTTGACAACACAAGCGCTGCAGGGAGTCACACTCATGTCCATTTCTGATCAGGCCATGCAAACAGACTCATCTAGAGTGAGTGGGTGTTGCGTACACTGCTACAGGTGTATGTGTGTGCATGTTGGTAGCAGTGTCAAGAAGCTAATTTTCAGTTTTTTTCATTGACGAATATATTATATAGTAAAAAAAAGTTGCTTATGTTAAACCGTACAAAAAAGGTTTTTGTGAATGATTATTCGGCAGACATTGGTGCATTACACAACAGTTTACTTCAGACAGTTGCATGGGTAAATCAGACATTCTTAGAGAAATTTAGTCCATTCTACGTATATTATACTACATGTCGTGTAGTGCATATTATGTATGATCAGGGGATTAACACGCCATAGCAACGGGCCGGTGCAGCTGTTTGATCTTGTAATATCTGGAGTAATAACCACTTCAATAAAAAAGCGTGTTGGCCCACACGTTTTTGCTTTCACTGTTACCCGGAAATTACAGCTCACGGCTCGGGACAAGAAAGCATAAGCTCGACTCACCAGCTCATGGCCGAAGAGGAAAAGGAACGGCAATCCTTTCGTCTTCGTCAACACCCCAATTGATGCGCACCATAACAACCCCGCGACCTAGAGCGCATGCGCGAAACCGTAGAGATTGAGGTATAATATAGCTTGCTAAAAATGTTATAAAAAGAGTGTGATTGATTGAGGGGCTGTCTATTATAGCTATGTAGAAGGAGATGCGGGTGAGGGGAGTCCACAGGGAGGTAAAGCAAGGAGAGCAGTCGAGTGCTTTGCAAACAGAACACACGACATCTCCTGTGTGGACAGGTGAGACTGAAGACACTGGCAGACGGTGGGATTAAATATTTTTACCTTACAAAACTCCTCCAATACAACAGCACCTTCCAGTAGATCATTATGGGGCATACTGGAGGGGGAGGGGAGAAGACTAACACACAGGGTCCACATTATAATATTATTACCACACTTGGGACACCAGTGATGACCATAAGAATTACTTTCCAGCGAGAAAATGCTCACGATTAAGTGCAAAATTAGATAAACATTTGTATATACATTACTTTGTTTCGAAACAAGAAAAAATTTCTCCAAACCACAAGGTTTTGTGGAGATGGTATAACACAAGAACTTGCTAAAAGTGAAAAATGCCTCTCTTGATTACGGACCTGAGGAGGTCGGAAGTCTCCTGGCCGACCATTCTCTTCCTGACTTCTCTGAGGTTGAACTGGAAGCCAGGAGAGCGCTCCGCGTGGACCACCAGCTCACTGTTCACCTGCACACACACACACACAGAGAGAGACTGTATAACATACAAACAACGCTGCTGCTTGGACGTGCCTTTCGCGTACATATTCTCCCTCTTTGAAAGCTTGGCTCCAAGGTGAATAAACATCTCCCACCATGGTGTGTGCAACCTCAGTATATAGAGTGTGCAATCTCCATTCACCACCTTTATAATTATGTAGAGTGTATCTTTCTGTTACTTTTGTTTCCGAAACAAGCTGACTCTCCAGAACGTAGAAATACACACTCACACTGATAAACATATCCTCGTAGGTTTCCCCTTAGTTTCTCAATTAGAAAATATATACGTTTGCTATATTATTATATATAAAGGTACACATGTACCTTCTTCAGTACAGAGAAGACAGAGTTGTGGGGGGAGCTGTCGGGGAAGAAGAGACGATCAATACGAGGATGAGAGAAAGCCGCAAGTTGAGAGAGAACGGACGTCAGCATCAAGTTCACCTCGTACGACTACAGCAGAGAAAGAGAATATCAGATAGTATTATGTACAATACCGAACATTCACACACTCTTCTTTATTGTCCAAGATCTCCACACACATGTAAGCATACAGGAATAGAGAACACATTTGCACCTTGATTTTAGAACAATGCATCTCTCAATAGAACATTCATTGGACGTTTGCATTTTGAAGGCAGGGCTGATTGATATATACCTGGTCTAAGAGTCTCTCCAGTTTGGAGAGCAGAGCAGGTACGAGTGGTCCCTCTCCTCCTCCCCGTTCTCCCCCAGCTCTCCCGTCTCCACGGTCGCGATGGTGGTGGTGGTGGGGGAAGGGACTCTCTGGCACATCCTGTGATGTTACTGCCTCGGGTGAAGACCACACCCCCTCCAATACCCTGTCATCTCCTCCTCCTCCTCCGTCCTGGTCCCAGGACTGAGCCAATACTCTACACTTTAATACCTGCACAACCAAACATCAATTAAAACAGTGTACGAGAGGACCTAGGGCATCAATTCACATGCTGATTTTCTACTTGACTTGTTCCCAATGGCCTTATAATATAATATACTCATACATGTACAATAATAAGACCTTTTTCTATGAGACGTCTCACCTGTTTGTGGGCTTCAATTAGATAGTCCTCAACACCAGTTTCTCCTGTCACCACCTCTGCAGACAGGAGATCCGCAGGTACCAGGGATAGGTAGCTGGGATGGGAGAGAGGAGGAGGAGAGGGGGGGAGAGGGGGAGGAGGGAGAGAGAGGGAGGAGAGAGAGGAGGAGGGAGAGGAGGAGAGGGGGAGGAGGAGGGAGGGGAGGAGAGGGAGAAGACAGAGCGGAGAGGGTGGGAAAGAGAGCGAGAAAAGAGGGAGAGAGGGCGTGAGGTGAGCGAGAAGGGAAAACACCACATCAGATGGTGGGCACACACAGAGGAAGAGGATAAAGGAAGGGAAATAGAAAAGCAAACAAACAAAGCCACCAGACACAGGATGTAGAACATGGTGCTTTCATTGAGAAAGAGCGACCACAGCATCTGGACTTCAGTTTTACTTTCAGTCTCTCTCTGCTCACTACTTTGTGTGTGTGTGTGTGTGTGTGTGTGTTTGTGGTGGTTTTGCACCGACCTATTGATCCAGTGCTCCAGTTGTTTCCTCTGCCGTGCCAGGCTGCTGCCAGTTGTGGTGCTGTCCTGGGGCAGTGGGGTGCTGGTGGCTGCGAATGCGTGGGTGGGAGTGTGGGGAGAACGGGGAGTTTGGGGAGCCTTGGGAGAGTCGGGAGTGTGGGGAGTTTGGGGATTGTTGGGAGGTTGTGATGACCGAGGAGGAGAGGTGGTTGTCTTCCAGTTTGTCATGCTGGTAGTGGCGGGAGATCCATCGAACACCAATTCACGCAGGAAGACGGGGGCGAGGGGGCACTCTAAGAGAGAGTTTATCAACTGCAGAGTAGCTTGACACACCTGCAGTCACAACAGAGAATATGCACACATACAGTTCACACCAACATGAATGGTGGCCTACTCTGAAATGTTACAGCAATAAAGAGAGAGTACGAGGGAAATACGTAGGGTTTAGTGAGATAAAAGTACGATAGTACGACCGACGAGATGAACGAGATACACTGGAGCTTCAGAATATTATAAAAAGGAGTGGAACAAAATCACCAACAAAATGTTGCAAGGGATGCAGTGGGATATGCTCCTTTGTGCACCCTTAAAACTCCTAACTACAACAATTATACAGACACTCTGTTAGGAGAGGACTAACATCGTCACTGGGATGATCAATCCTCTGAACCATGAGCTGTCTCAGAGTCAGTACTTTCTCGGGCTCCTTCCCACCCCCACCTCCCTCACTCCCCACACCCTCCCCTCCTCCTCCTCTTCCTCTTCCTCCTCCTGTCCCCAGGACACACAGTACAAACTCTGCAGTGGAGACAAACACACACTATACTTACAGAAGATCTCACGTTGACCCTACAAATGGTAGTCAAACTCAAAATCCCGGGAAACTGCAAGTACTGCAACCATTTGCACAACACCCCAACATGTGTGATACAACAAAAATAATGTTTGCAGCAGCAGTAGTGATGGTGGTTCACCTGAGAGCAAACTCTCGTCTGTTATGAACTGGATCGAGCGTGACAGAACAGACGTGCTGAGTAAGACGTCCTCCTCAGTTCTGGAGTGGGAGAGACAGTGAGAAATCAGACATCATAGTCTTTACTAACACCCCTTTGCATTTCTCACACTCTTTTCTAAATAACTCTTGAGGGAGTCGGCAGCAAATGTGCATTTAATGTAGTGCTGCCTCAAGAAACAAATGCCCCTGCCCAAAACCTTTACTTTCGTGGACAGCTCATTAACTTCACAAAAGTCGTACAGTTGAGTTCTCACTACGAAGTACTTTCTTTTCTCTGTCTTTTTCTCTAAGTATGTACATACGTACACATATTTTTGTACTCTTCTCACACTCCATTCTATCAGGATACAATTATAATGTGTTTGTAACTCACACTCTGAGGATGCGAGGCATGAGAGAGGCCTCCAGCAGTAGCTCCTGGACGGCAGTGCACAGGGCCTGGTAGAGTGGCGCGCTGGCAGAGACCACGGCCTGCTCCACGTAGTCCAGCCAGGAGAGGTAGGCCTCCACGTGCCACAGACCGTAGCCAGACGGAGAGTGGTCCACTGTTCTGCTCCTACTGGCATAGTCCACTCTAGAGAGAATTATATACTACCAACCTGTATCTTATTGATGCAGAGGTGGATGAAAACACAGTGATACACACTTCTATCTTTTTGTCCTTCTATATATGTAGTAGCGTTCTCTTACGACCTACAGTAAAATGATACTTCTGAGGGAAAAGAAACCATTTCCCACCTTCAAGGCCCATCTATTAAAGCACATTTTCATGCACGGGGACCTGCTTTTGAACTATCTTCCTGTTATACATAATATGGGTTTAGTTGTTTGCTTTGGTGATACACTGTATATACCTTACCCCCAGCCAGTGTTGCAGCCAACGATGGACGTGTGTGAACAGGAGAGTGGTATGAGCTGAAAGTGGTACTGCAGTTTGCTGGCCAGTAGGACAGGGAGCTGTGAGGACGCCAGGACCCGTGCCACGCCCTCGTGCCGCAGCGACACGCAGCTCAGCAGGCACTCATATGCCTTCATTGCCACCATGCTGTCGTTGTGGTTCACCAGACGTTGCAGAGCCTCCGCCACTAGATACACTGTCTTTGTGGGGACCGGAGGAGAACTGGTGGAAGATTGGGAGGCATTGTTTGGGGAGACGGACGAAACAGAGGGAGAGGGAGGGGAGAGAGGGGACCTCTTGACGGGGAGGTCGACGAGGAGGAAATCGGCAAGGCGGGTGTCGTCGTGGACCTTGAGACAGATTGTGCGGAGGAACTGGATCTCCATGAGGGCCAGAGGGCTCTGGGGGTGGAGACCACACAGCTGGATCAGCTTCTGGGGGGCCCAGAGATGAGAGGAGAGGAGAGGGTGAGGAGGAACAAGCCGAAAAAGATAACAACATTCATAGCATAATGCAGAGTTACATACATAACTTTACTGGTTGATTGAACTGAATCAGCAGTTAGGTGCTTATAAACTTGCTTGAATGTGTCGAGTTGGAAGAAGAGCACACACATTAAGGTGGTCAGGCATGCTCTCGCCACGAGATGAGCCAGGAGGTAATCACACTGACCTGGACAGGCTGGTGGACACTGACGTGAGGCAGGAGAGGCTGCTCCATCCGTCCCAACATGTGTATGAGGAACATGAGGACCTCCTGACGAATACCTGATGGATACTGTAGTGATGTATATACATACATGCGAGTGTAGGGATAGGAGGGGAAAGAGAGAGAAGAGAGTAGAGAAATCAGTTCACAAGTGCAATTCTGTTTTAGTGTTCTCCTGTACAAAGTTTATAAACACTTTGTTGTAGAGTTTCTACTGAGCTATTCGGGCTGGCTTTTGCAACATGCTAAGCTGCTTAGAGTCCCGCATTGTGACCTGTTAGGGTGTATGTAGCTCACTCTTTCTCTGCATGTGGGTTTGGGTCCCACGCAGGACAGCTCTATTCATTGGTGTCCTGTGGTGTCGTTGGAGTGCTTGCCTTTGCATGTGCCTTGCCTTCACACAGGTTTCGTAGGTAGTATGGGATAAAGCGAGGGGAAGTTGAGGTGGGAGGTTGTGAGGATGTGAAGACGGAAAGGGGGTGGGTGCGACTGAAGTATAACACGAATCTCTGCCATCAAATACGGTGGCATTCACACCCTAAAATGGAGTTCTTTAGAGGGATCAATTGCACAGGTTTGCAAACACAATGCAACCATCACCGAAGCAGATAAAAGAGATCGTAGGGGTTACAAGTAACCTCGGAATTAGAGAATAAAGGTTCTGGAGTCTCTTTGACTGCATGCCAAGAGTATCAGGCAGCGGTATATACAGTATATCTGCATATCACTGATCTGTCAACAGAATCACCGACAAACTCCAACATTTCCATAAGCAAGCAATGAAATATCAAGACTGTGCCACCATCAAACGGTGGGTCACCAATCAGCGAAGACTGGCCGTAAACACGAGATGCAGTACAAGTGGCCGCACGTGTTCCAATCAAGCCCGACCGTTGCTCCAGTAAACAGGGACAGGTTTCTCTGTTGGACACACTGGCACTGCAATCTTCACTAGAAACCCCACCACGTACAAATATACTCCTGTTAACCCCTGTAACCGCTTGCTGGACAACTTTACACCTAGCCCTAGAAACCCATTGCATACGTAAATACACCCCTTAGAGTGTATTACTGAGGAACTGGGCAAACGTATAATCCTTCGCCAAGCCCTAGAGCTCACCGCACACACTGTCAGCAGCCACTTACAGTGCAATACCGAGACATGTTTACATGTTTGTTTATGTCCGCAGTCAGTTCAAGTGCTTTGCGCCGGGCTACCTACACACGTAAGACAGGAAACGGCTCCCCCCCACAAGACCTCTGAGAGGAGAATTCAGAGAAGCATGCAGACTAGGGAGTCGGGGGGGATAAAGGTGTTACAAAACAGGAGGTGTTTGCTGCATACACATAGGCAGTAGTTGATGACTTCAGCTCAAGAGAACCCAGGGAGCTACCCCTGTACGACTTATATCTCACTCATTCAAATGCTGTTTATCCGCACTCTGACACACATCCGGACAACACGAGTAAAGGAAGTGACACCATTTGCTATATTTATCGAAACACCCCATATTATCACGGATTCCATAGTACGCAATGAGCAGGAACGCATACTCATACAATTGTGGGCATATGTATATCTTTTGAGAGCTGCAGGCATGGATGGGTGTACAGCTCACTCTAATCTCAAATATTATGTCTGTATTTGTACTATATATGAGGACTTACGTCATTCTTGCATGGTATGTAGAGAGTGTCCAGTATTCTGTGTCTGAGCATGAACTCCAGGCAAAGCCCCTACACACACACCAGGGGGAGGAGGGGAAGGAGAGGAAGAGAGGGTGGCAGGCACAGGGTGGGAGTAAGGGGGAAGGAGGAAGGATGGGAGGTGGAGTAGGGGGAAGGAGGAAGAATGGGAGGTGGGGGTAGGGGGAGGAGGAAGAATGGGAGGTGGGGGTAGGGGGGAGGAGAGAGGGTTGGAGTAAAAAAAGGTGGGGAAGGAGAGAGCAATCAAAGCTCCCACTCCGTGACAGTTAGCGTCCCACCATTGTGCCGTGGTCACGCGAGTCTTTCTGAGAGTCCTCTTCACACAGCAGCTCTGCCATGGCTCCCAGGTGGTGGGGGATGTCCGTCTCCGACACACTCCCACCTGCATCTGTTGCAATTTCGGTACGAGCATTGAGCACTACTGAAGTCAAACCAGTCACAATGGGTGGCTACTACACATGGGCATTGGGTCGGTTTGATAGAGGTCTGAAAGAACATAAGGACACACTTGATTCAAATGTGAGACTCGTGACCACACGTGGGACTTGGCCACCATGTGTTTGACCTGTATTTAGCTACACATACACAATTCCCCACGGAATACAGTACCAGAAGTGGCTATAGAGTCAGTGATGGCTCGCCAGTGAGTTGTGAAATCCTCCGGCCTTATCTGCTGAGGTCCAAACTATATCGGGGAAACAAGCAGGAGGAGAATTCGAAAAGGACGCGTACCGATTCTAATTGTTGCCCACCTACCCCGACAACTTCAGCCACCAAAGCCGTGAATCTGCTGAACATGGCTCCGCTTACGTCAGTTCTTCGGCACAAACACAATATTCACACGCTGTCAATCGCGTCTTTACCACTCTAGCTCTCCAAATAATCCAGCTTTTCAAAGAAATTGAATGAACGAAGACTCCTCCAATCCCTAAGCGCGCACGCGCAGTGTAAGCGCAAAATGTTATGCTTGTGCGCTTAATTTGCCAGAATATAATATGCGCATGCCCGCGCAGCTGCTGGTGGATCGACCTTCTGCGCGTGCGTGTAGACACGTGTGTTCCTTGAGGCGCTCGTCTTGGAGGCTGGTGTCCTTCACCGCGTACCGTTACCCGTTTTTCCGTGGATTTTGCAGGAGGAGAGCAAGGAATGGAGAGAAGTGCTACTTTCAACACAACATCTTTTGCTGAGGGTCGGTTTCGCCGAGCGTACAAAGGACGCTGGACAGCTCCGGTGAGCGATGCAGGTCGCGTCTGCGTTGTGAAAGAAATGAAGGACAACTACAGCTGGAACGAAGTGGACTGGAACGACACTGTAAAGATAAACGAGCGAGCCAAGGACCTCGCTGCACGTTTCACCAGCAGGACCCCAGCGGTGTACGTAATGCGAGTGACGAACGCACCTTGTCCTCACACCAGACCCAAGTTGCACGAGTACGTGACGTGCGAGGACTACATACCGGGGCCGTTCAAGAAGTGGTGCAACAACTACGGCTACATCAGCGATGAATGCACAATTCTTCCAGCTTTTATGCACTGGTCGTGGGCACGCAGTATGGGAGAAGAGATGGTATCAGATCTTCAGGGCGTTCGAAACGGCAGTGCTTACACTCTCACTGATCCAGCAATGCTGTCGCTCTCTGGGACCTACGGAGTTACCGACATGGGAGTGGAAGGGATGGCAATGTTCTTTCTCGAGCACAACTGTGACAAGTATTGTCAGATGCTGCCCAAGCCAACGCTGGCTCACTTTTAACCAGATTGTCCCCCAGCAGTACATCTGGGCAGCTGAGACCCTCCTGGGGCAAGTTCAGAGCGCTACGACTTATTCCTTTGAGCTGAAATTCCCTCAAGTTATTCGTGGGCGAGTGATCGAGAGGTTTCGACAGATAGCGCAAAGTTGAGTCACTAACAGTGGTTTCACCTCAAGTACATTTTATTCGACAACAAACTCATTTTCTCTAACCACAAACTTTGCTGCGCATAATTATAATCATGGATGGAAGTTTTTCAATAAATACGGTAAAGTTGTGAAGTGAGGGGAGGCTGCCATGTACTGTATTAATTGTGTATGTATATGCAGAGGAAAGCATGGCTTGCATGGCTACAACACAGAGTCACTCTTCTTGCGAGAGAACGGGTTCTTGAATGGCAGTCCGTGAGACCACCGTCTCTTTGATCCCTCTCCATTATGACCACTGGACAGAGAGAGAGAGAAAAAGATGAGATAATATAGAATATTTTGATAATGCTCTCACTTTCACTGCATGCCGCTTCCAGAAACTGCCTTCACTAGATTCTTCTTCTTTCCTCCACTGGTACCCACAATTCACTGTTAGCAAGATCATCCTAATGTACAATCTATTGGATGCAATATGTGATATACCTCTGGAATGTGGATTTTTTTTTGGGATAGGAGAGGTGATTAAGGTGAGCTCTTGTCCGTTTGGCTTGCTTCCACATTTGGGAGGAAGTTCCCTGCGTAATGTGTTTATGTAGTTTTTTGGCTGAAAATTTAGTGACAATTGGGTTCAGTTGGTCAAATTTACCAACCCATTTGAGGAACATTTACTGGAGCGGCCAAATTGGCAGTGATCATACCATTTGATTTCCTTAATTTGTTGGCTCTCTATCTGTTACTGCTGTAGTTGCTCTCTCCCTCCTTCTTTTTCCTCCTCCTTCTGGAGGTAGTGGAGGGACCAGACCAAATCCTCCCCTCACTTGGACAGTGTAGAAACCATCTGAATCCTGAAATTAAGTATAAGATAAACACAGAATGGGCAACGCATGATATACAGATATCTATAATGATATATGAAGCAGTGAAGTTATGGTGAGAAAAAGTGGAGTGGAGAACAATGAGAAGAGCAGATCAAAAGGTGTTGCTGTGCCGAAAACTGGTGCTTTTTAGTGCTGATCATTGACATAAA